TCATTGTCTTCCGGATTGAAAAAGGAGATTCCAAAATCTTTCGAGATCGACTTTCACACGTCATCTCTGCCTATCATAGTCTGTGGCTGTTCAAGGCTCGGAGATATTTTCTTGCGTGGCGGTAATTACAGTGGTGATACTACCCTCACTTTGTATGTTGTCAAGCGTTTGTGTCATGACGTCGGGGCGCCGATCTCGAAGCATGAAACTGTCCCAGTCTCGAAACAGTCGTCGTTCCAGCTGGAGGCGGCATGGGAACCTTCTATTCGTCAAACGCAACGAGGAATGGCGGCCCTTCTCTCCTCACTCCTCGTTCTGAGTCAGATTGTGAGTGAAAAGGGTGTTGAATCGGAGAATAAGATTCTCGCGGCGCTGTATTCATTTACCCGCTTTCCACCTGCTGTACGCACTCGTAAGTGGATGCAATTTATTGCTGCTAGGGAGGTCAGATTGATCTCCATATTGTAGTCGGATTACTTTTGTTGAATATTTCACCGCAACCTCAGGAGAAAGCTGCCTTATCAGAGGCCCTCTTTCACTCATTACAGGACTTCGCAGGTACTGCGGGATCAGCATTCACAGACAGTCAAAGTCGTCGCTTTGAGACGGTAACTAGCTCTCCGAGTCTTTCTACCATTATAAGACATTAATTTCATGTTTCTAGGTCCGTATCCTTTTAGGACATCTTCTGGGTGTCTCGGACGTCGTACATGTGACAGTAGCCAGACCCCTTCAAGCTCTGTCGCTTGTATGTGCTCTTTCACACAAACGACTAGTTGACCCCGTCATGCTTGAACCCTCTGGCGTGGTAGAACGGAGTTCTGGGAAACTCTATTCTATTGGTGGGCCATTATACCGACCGGTTAACGGAGTCTATGGACAACAAGCAATAACTGACTTAGTTGGCGAAACTGGAACCCAACTGCGTCAAGTCCTTGCACAAACCAAGGAATTCAACCGAACTGAAGTGCAACTCCTGCGTCTGCACGAAATTGGAACTCTCACTCGCCCAATAGATCTCGGAAGTGCTGGGCGTGATTTCTCAGATGTCATTCGACGAGCAAATGAAACGGATTTGATCTCTCGTGGACCATTGGAACTCAAGAATACTTCAGTCGTACCACCACAAATCGTTCTTGACAATGAGGTACATACAACCCTTTCATTATTGTCACATCTGTTGAATAAGGTTTAGGGTTTCCTTGCTGTTTTCACAGGACGTGGCTGCGGCACGGCCCGTGATGTCAATTTCTATCGACCCACGTATGTCCTCACTCCTTTCAGGGACTCTCATTGCTCATTTGCATCAATAGTGCAGGTGGCGATACTGAAGTCGATGTCAATGACGTAGAATATGCTCTTCAGAAAGTCATTCCGGCGAGAAAAGCAGAAGATACGTGGGATGTTGATTGCTTCGGTGGCATCCCCGCCAAGGCCCGCACTCCTGATGAAGTATGCAAGTTTTACGTGCGTCATCTACCGAGTACTTACAAAATATTAGGCCATTGTACTGTGTCTTGACCTCAGTGGCTCTATGGATGATCACTCGGCGGTGGAATCAGGTGTCGCACCTTTTGATCATGCCGATGAAGGCCAAAAGTCGGTAGACGATGTTGTCAAGGATCATGCTGAAGACCTGATTCTCCGGAAAGGTAAGTATCATCTGGATAAGGACAATATGCACGAGACTGATTTGCGTACAATCATACGTAGCGAAGGAATGGATTAATGCCCAGCATGAGAGCTGTTACGAAGCTTGGAAGTCTCTAATCCAGGTACGTCCTTCAATTCACCCTTAATACTTGACATTCTCAAACAATAGCAGGAAATCACAATTGGAAAGTTGATAAATCACCTCTCACTCATTGCCCAGCGTGAAGTCCTAACACGGATGCCGAGCAATGATGAAGAGCTGCTTCCAGAACTATTCAAGGTGAGTTACAGATCTCTTCGGCTACATGGTACTCATACCCAAGATGTTTTTATTGCATCCGCTCAGCTTGCTTGTTTCTCCTCGGCTAGCAGATCACAAAGACAAAGTATTACATCTTTTTTTGAGAGGTTTTTGCAGAGATACCAACCCCGTTTGAGTCTGGGTGATGTACCCTATGATGTTCCTCGAAACTTGGTTGACCCACTGTGCGTGTTTTGACTCCTTTTTCTTCTATGACAAGGCTTGAGTCAGGCCAATTACAGGACTGGGGACTTGTCTACTGGAGTGCAACTGAATCAAAGATTGACTAGGCAACAATGGGTACTTGTTTCTTAAATATTTTGGTGTCATGAAATCTCAACGTATGAGTCATCAAGATCTCAGGACAGGACATTTTGCGCAGCCTAGACTTGAAAACGAGGATAGTCATCGTCAGGCTATTTCATGGGACTGTGTTCTCCTGGAATCTACCAATCACCACTCCGACACGAACTCTTTACACTTTGGCGAACCGTATCACAGAAGCAAAATACTCCTTTTTCGTGCTTCATATGAAAAGCTCCGGGAGAGCGATCAGGGATTCTGAGTCCACTCTTTTGATGACCATTGGCCTCAGGACTGGAGAGCTGCTAGAGCTCCGGAGAACAGTCCCTCATTCCCGGAAGCCTCTTCTATTCGAGGTCAGGTCATCATCTTACGGTGTGCCGCAAATGATCCCTTTGCCTGCTGATGCCCCCGCTCTCGCTCTGATAAGCCATGTGCGAGGTCCATCTAACACTGTCTTGTCTGATATCCGATTATGGTAGGTTCCTATTAAGATTATTTGGTCGATACTGAATTATCTTGATTAAGGAATGGCCTCACTTACAGTGGAGATGGCATACAAAGAGGAACCATTGTGACCTTATTTTCAAACATCCGCTCCTTCATTTCGCTTGAATGTCTTCCCTGGTGTTGGATTCCTACTGGCTCACAGGAGGCCCGCTACGAGAGTCGATACCTTACACGTCTACAATTGATGAAAGAGTTGTTCAATATTTTTTTGAATCGCGCCGTAAGTAAGCAGGACCGTATCGTCAAGCCAGTTCTAAGAACGCCAACAGAGTTCATTTGACACGTCTGTTTCATTAGTCTTGGGTTTGGTTACTTGTGAGTCACTCTTTGAGAAGAGTAATGGATTTCCTGATCGTGAACTCTTCCAGTTGCGGACAAAGCGTTCGTCAACCAAGAGCTAACGCCAATTTTCGAAAACTTCCGCATGGAGTTGGACAAGGTCACGGCTCAAGGAGACACTGCAATGTACGAAGCGCTGGAACTAGCATGTAATTGTCTGGTGAACTTTCGGCGCGATCTTCCCCGCCTTCGTCGTAGAATTATCGTTGTTTCCGATGGTCAAAACACGAGCACAGGGACGAATCCCATGCATGTTGGCCGTACGTTGCAAGCTAATCGCATCATCGTTGACTCTGTACAAGTTGGGGATTCTTTCTCGAATAGTCTTTGGGCATTTTCGGCCGCCACAGGTGTGTTATAGCGACTCAAAGTGACTTTGCGCTTATCAAGTTAAGGCGGTTATCGTTTTTTCCCCCGAACCTCGTTGGCCGATGCACTGAGCATATTCGTGCGCTTGATTCTGTATCACTCATTTTCTTCCTGATCTTGGCTCACAGGACCTTGAAACAATGATAACTTCCGCTGACAGACCCCCAAGACCCAGATTCAAGGGCGCATTTAATCATGGAAGCCGGGAACTCGCGACGGCTTCTTCTCTGCCATCGTACCCCATTGACATCGTCACTATTGACCAGTTCCCCAAGCGCACAGAGCACCCTAAACTCATCGAAGGTGTGAAGGATGTAAGGCGGGCTACAAGGAATGCTGGTGCTTTGAGCAATGATCGTACAAAGAGGATCATGCGGGAGGCAAGTCAACACAATTATTTTATTCACCCTTTCATTTTCATCACACTTCTGCATGTTTTCAGCTCAGAGACCTCGTTGCGGACCCGCATCCGCAAATTGATGTATACGTGAATGACGTCGACATCTCGTTCCTTAAAGTTGTGATAGAGGTATGAACTGAATACTCTGGTTTTGGGCATGTCCTCATCCACAGCCGGTGTTTCAGGCGCCAAGTGACGTCGAAAAGTGCCCATACAAAGGCGGTTGCTTCCTCCTTACATGTGAACTGCCCGCGGATTTCCCTCGTAGCCCTCCCGACATACGCTTTGTGACGTTCATCCTGCATCCCAACGTACGTTGACCCGACGCATTCTCTTGACGCGTTTGACGAATTCGCGTTTAGGTCTCCAAGCAAGGGAAGGTTTGCGTTGCGGAGCTAAGCAGGTTATGGTCGTCCGATATCACGTTGAAAGAGATCTTCAGCCTTGTCTATGGACTGCTGTTAGAGCCTGATTTGGACAATCCGCTGGATATTCAGGCCTCACTCAAATATTGTGAGTTCTGCTAATGTCATGTCATATGTTGCTGGGCTGATTCGAAACTTTGAACAAGATGACGATGATGGGACATTTGTGCTGGCAGCTGCCAAAGCTGTTGCTTCCCATGCGTCCAAGTCTCGTAACGAGTGGCGCACAGAGCTAGATGTTTAATGAAACAGAAGGATGTAAGACTAGGGTATCTTGATGTGTATTTTGTACTGCTTGACCGAATGAATGTGTTTATCCCACTACGAAATAATCCTTAGTGACTGTCACATGAAGGAGTCAGTTTAAAGACCTTCGTTTCGCTTGTTCGGATGCCGAGTTTCATTTTAAAGCTGCGGAGAGGGGCTCAGGAGGAGTGAAGGAGTGGATGGGACGAATATAAGGAATGTTACCGGTATTGCAGGTGGTGAAGAGTGGGTTTAAGGTGGCCAGGGTTGAAATTGGAAATTCGATGAAGGCTGGCTATAGAGCGCTAACCATGGCTTCTAATAACTATTGGTGTCTGGTGAAATTCTATAACATAAAATCAGCAAAGTAAATGGTCTGATCTTCGACAGATTTGAACCGATGTTGACAAACGATGATGCGTTTTCAAAAAACCATTTTGAGGAACAACTTAAATTCGGGTACGGGGAATCGAACCCCGAGCTGCCGCGTTCTAAACCCAATGAGAGGCGGCAATGTTAGCCGTTACACCATACCCGACAACACCTAGTAAGCAGTGATGTACAGTTGTATGGGCATTGTACTGCGCTTCCAGGGGTTGTGTGGGTCGGTAGGTTTTGTTGGATGTACTTCTCCTGCATATTGGAATCTACTGGAAAAGAGAAAGAGCAACAATCATTCGGGAACAGGGAGTAGAACCCTGAGGCCTGAGCGCTGAGCTGCCGCCCACGTAAATCGACTCGAATCGAAGGAGCCAGATATGAGAGACGGCAATATTGGCTTTTACACCATACCCGATGATGGTTGTGCATGGCTTAGTGTTACACAAGGACGCGTTGATGCATAGACGCGCATTTGAAAGATGATTGATGATCTCAAGGCACCTTGGGTGGCGCCACGTACCTTGTTGATTCCAGCAGGAGGATATCAAGTACATGATGTACGCGATGAGATACATGAAAGGAATCATGCACCCCTGGGAAAGACACGCGTTTATCGCATTGCCTCGTACCGGTGTCGTTGTGCAGATATCAAGAGCTTGACAAGGTTCAAATGCCGGGGACACGAGTACGCTTAGAGCACGCTGATGCTGATGCTGCGTGCTGATATGAGACGAAGTAGCGTTTGATGAGTAAGATCACATTCGTCGAGTCATGCGTCGGGGGGAGGTACTTATTGCTATGCGAGAAGAGAGCTCGGAAGCGTGGACCGGTCAGACGACTAGAAATTGCTCCAAAAAGAAAGAAAGATGCAACCGAATTGGTCCGACTGCAAGGTGGATCTACGAGCAACTGAGGGAGGTTTAGACGTCTCGGAGGATGATTTTTGAATGAAGTAATAGGAGATCCACACGCTATTGATGATGCCGTCGACAACGCTGCCGCCCACACGCAAGCACGGCGGAGATTACATAATGTCGTGTCTTTGTTTTACTCCTGGTTTGTGGCCACAACAGTATCTTTTCCGCAGACCGCCATGCAAGTGGACAACCCGCTCCAGCTCCAATCCTCCTACTCCTTCTCCCCCGCGTCCCTCAACGACTTCAGCGACATCTTCAACCCCGATGCCTTCGCTGACGACCTCGGCGCTGCCGACAACTCCAACTCCCCTCCCACCGCCTCCTCGTCTCGCGGCTCCTCGCCCTACCTTTCGTCAATACAGACCCCCCCACAATCAGTGCCACAACACGCTTTTCCTGAAGATAACCCCTCGTCGTTCTTTGCCTTTGACGATGACCTCCTGACAAAGCAGTTCGACCCCATGATGAACATTTCCAACAACCCCTACGACTTTTTCAGCATCTTCGAAGGCGCCGATATAGGTATTGATGGTGGCATGAGCATGGACATGTCCTCGGACATGTCGGGGATCGACACCGGTATTGTCGGTGAGGCGATGGGTATAGATCCCCAACTCGTCGGCACACCCTCTGCGCTCAGTGACATCGGCGAGGAGAACGAAGAAGCCGAACGGGTGGAAGATGTGGAGCATGACGGTGACGTGTCGGCTTCCCCTTCGTCTTCGGGCTCGCCACCGGCAACAACACCAAGGGCCCGGTCTGCAGAGGAAAGGGAGAAGTTGACGCTTGTCATCCAGCCCGTCAAGGCGGGTGGACATGGCAAGGCGCGTAAGGGCACCGTCCAATCAGGAGGCATTGTTAAAAAGACGCCCACTCCCAATCCTGTCATTGCCTCGCTTGGAAAGGAAAATACTTACACTCCCATCACTCCCACTTCAATTGTCACCCCTCCCACTTACACACCCCCCAGTGCCTTCCAACCGACCAATGTATATGACAGCCTGCAGGACAAGAAGAGGAATGGGAAGGACGACGAAGATGATGACCTTCCGCAGGACTGGAGGCCTTCTCCTGAGGTCCTTGCAAAAATGACGAGCAAGGAAAAGAGACAACTCCGTAACAAGATAAGCGCGCGCAACTTCCGCGTTCGTCGAAAGGGTGTGTATAGCCATTTGCTTCCATTCATTCATTGATCGTGTCTAAATTTACTTCCATCAAATAGAATACATTTCAACCCTGGAAGGCGACATTGCGGAGCGCGATCGGCTCCTCGAGGCCATCCGTTCCGAGCTCGGCTCAACTCAATCTGAGAATTTGGCTCTGCGTCAGGAGATTGCTGCGCTCAAACGTACGCTCCTTGAGGGACGTGCCCCCACTATCGCTGCCGATGGTACTACTGAGTATCCCCTACTCAACCTTCCCCCGCCCGCCCCCCTCCCCGCGCAGAGTGCCGCTGCGACACTTCAAGCTCAGGCCCAGGCTCAAGCGCAACAGCAGCCGCAACCACAGACCCCGTCCTTGCTCACGCCCAACACACAAAAAGACGCCACCAAGAATGGAAGATTCTGGGGTGGTGTCAGGCTCGGCATGGGCATGGGAGGCGTCACGCCTGTTCATCGTGTTGTGCTTCCTGAGATGTCGGTCGCGGATCTGTTGGCGAACCAATTCGGTCCCAGTCCGTTTGTTATTGCGAAGGATGACAAGTGGAAAGAAAATGTCAACCCCTTGCTTAATGGGCTCATTGGGGAGCAGAGCAAGTCGGAAAAGGAGAAGGAAAAGAAGAAAGAGAGGGAGAAGGAACGAGAGAAGATGCAGCATCATCTGGGCTTCGAGGGTTTCTCGGACGTCAACCCCTTCACGATGAAGAGTATCGACGCGTACAGAATGCATTTATGGGGCAAGATGGCGTCGCAGCAGCAGTATACGCAGCACCAACAGAATCTCCTCCAGCAACAACAGGCCCACGCGAACCATCACCTCTCGAATCTCGCGTCCTCGCTCCGCCCGGCATTCTTCACGTCGCCCAATACGCCGACGTCCCCGTTCACATCGTTACTGTCTGGGAAGCACATGCATGGCTCGCCTGCACCGCCCTACTCGCCGCCTCCGCCGCCATATACGTCCCCGTCATCATCGCCTTTACTCGTGGGCAAAGGAGGCGTGGTGGAGAAGCTCGAGAAGGAGAGGAGGGAGAGGGAGAGGGAGAGGGAGATGCAGAAGGAGAGGGAGAAGAAGGAGACAGCGATGTATGCGGCGATGGCGAGCCAGACGCTGTTGAAGAAGCTCGGGAGCGCGTTTTGGGATGCATTTGCTGGGTCTTCGAACTTGAATTCGGGTGCGGGTTCGAGCTCAAGTGCGTCTGGGTCGGGTATAAGACCGTGGGACGCGGATAAGGTCAGGAAGGTATTGGAGGGTAAGGCGGTTGTGAAGGTTGTGGATGTTGAGGAAGTGAAGCCACAGCAGGAGCAGACCCAGACCCAGCTGAAGGAGAGGAAGTGTCTGAACTTGAAGGCGGCAGAGGAGTTGTTGGAGCAGAGTATGAGGAGTTTGACGATCCATAAGAGGTCTTGAGATTTGGTTTTTGGAGTTGGGATTATCTGGTATGTTCTTGTCGTCGTTCTTGTGTGGAGGTTTTAGCTGATTCGCTGGGTAGTGAACAAGATTCAAGACGAATTTTTTCTTTTCCTTTTTATGTATGATAAAGATCACGATTTAATACTCTAGGTCGCTTGCTCCCCTCTTCCTCCCTTCACTTCTCTCTTATCCCCCTTCTTTCCGTCCCATTCTTTTCCACCTGTGTCTCCTCATGCATATGCTTTGCATTTCCCTTTTGGCTTCCTGTTGCTCGTCGTTGTCGTTGTATGATCACCACCACCACCACCCTCAAACTTTTAGATACGGTACTCATCATGCCGCCTCATCCACACTCCTTGTCTGTCCCTTTCCTCTCTCCTGCCTCCACCTTCACTTCAGCTCGTGTTCGTGGATCGAACCCTTTTTCCTCTCAAACAAAGCTTAGCCCAGGCTTCCTCTCCTTTCCTCGTCTTCGTATTCCGCGAACTCTCGATTATCCGAAGTTGCCTATCTAGTACCTAGCCTCCCGTTCAACACTCCTACCTCCGCTCAGCATCGATCGCTCCTGTTGCTCTCCTCACTTCTTTTTTTCCTTTCCACTCTTCTCTTTTCGTCTTTCGTGTTATTTATTCGATTTCGTTGCATCTACTACTAGTAAACTAGTATCGAAAGTATCCTCGTAGCATACACATTTTTTCTACATAGGCATCTTCAGAATCACATACAGATTTAAAATTTGTTGTCGATTTGGAGTCGCGATTTTTCGTTCCCTTGCGAGGAGGGGACCTAAGTTTGAGGGTGGTGATATGCGGCGATACGTTAATTTATGATTGATAGTAAATCTTCTTCTTGTAATGATTACTCCCTTTACTCCCTTAGCAGACGCTTGTTTCGGCCCCTCACAGCGGCACTCTTCTTCAACAGATCTCCAAGGAGAAAATTAAAGGATACCGCCACTTGTTTGACATCTCTCTTGGGCATGGCGCTCAGTTAAAACTTCTTGTTGATCCTTTAAGGCCATTCTGTCTATATCTGAGAGACGCCCTATGAGTCGGAACCCTGTTGGGATTTATGTTTCGACTTGGAACTGATTTATCTAACGTCCTGAGCGTCGGAACTCGATGTTTGTTAGGCTAGTCTTTCGGTCGGAATTCGTGAAGGAGCTCAACTTGAGTTTGAAGTTGACCGCCGGCGCGCAACTCGTAAGAGGACTAGTGGAACCATACCACAGTTGCCATTACTCCTCACTAGAAAAGGCATATATCTGAATCAGTTATATGACTCAGATACCTGATTCAATCTATACAGTTCTGGGTAAGCTGTAGGCTCATAGCACTTGCAGTAGCCTATATATTCCCTGTGGTACTACTAGTAGACCCTAGTGTGTACCTCCTCAATGACACCCCATGAACGAAAGATAGTTTGTGAGGTAGGCAACGATATATTCAACAACCTTTGGCCTTTGGCCATTGCTTTGCTACTCCTCTGTATGGCATCAAATATCTTGCTGTTTTTCTTTTGCTGATCAACGTTTCAACACTTTCGCAGGCATTCTGGTATTTTTTTGTACTCTGACAATACACTCTCTCGCGTGCGTGACACTTGAACAATCCCAATATTCTAGGGAAGAAACTCACATTCGGAATCAGTCTAGGCTCGATCTCTT